CGCGCGAGAGAGAGAGAGAGAGAGAGAGAGAGAGAGAGAGAGAGAGAGAGAGAGAGAGAGAGAGAGAGAGAGAGAGAGAGAGAGAGAGAGAGAGATGTATCCTCTACATATTTTTGCTGGTGGCGGATACATCCTGTACATATTTTCGCCTGTGTTCCATTATTCACAACTCAGGAACCACATACAAATGTCCCCATACACATCAACAATGACAGACACCACCACATACAAATTTTCCCATACAATGATAGACACCTTAACTGGAAACACATCTGATTGATGGAATGTCAAAATTCAAAAAGCGAAAAAGCGGGTGAAATACCCGTGCGAGAAAGGAAGCAGACATCAACACGAATATCCCACAAATCGACCCATCAACCTCCATTAAGGAGCACTCGAGGAAGTTACGCAAATAAAGTGACACCTAATATCTGAAGAAGAGCAATATACAAGAATTCTCAAACAACACCAGGGATTTAGGATCCTAAAGGCCGGATGCATCCGCTGCACAATCCCGACCTAGAGAACTGGCCACACATACTCAAACTTGTCCTACAGAACAGATGATCGACGCCATCTTGCATCTGATTTCTGGAATGTCACAATTTGGAAAGCGGAAAGGCGGGCACAAACTCCGGGCGAGAAAGGAAGCGAACATCAACATGAATACCCCACAACTCGATCCATCAACCTGCCTAGGCACTCCCTTAACGAGCACTTCAAATCTCATGTTATTGTACCTTTCAGGCAGCCCTCGTACCTTTGCCTCTTTATTCAGATAGTCCACAACCGCCTTAAATGCACTAGAAGCGAATGACGCGTCACAGACCGGGTTATAAAACGAGTCGACGAAGTCTACAACGTGCTCTCTGAAATCTACTGAAAGAAGGACCCAGTGTTCGCAATCCTTGTGAATGGGGATGAGTAATATATTGTACTCGAAAAAGAGGACATTTTGCGTCCACCTGCTGACCCCTCTAAAACCTTGCGACTGCAACTTCGTAAAGAAAAAGGAGAGGAAGTTGTACACTTTGAACGGAGATCGACGACAGTCCGTCGTGAGGAGAGCCAAGTAAAAATTAACGACCTCGTCGTTAAGCTCGCCGCCTCTATCCAATAATGTCACCATGTCTTTTACCCTAATCACTAAGTGCTCGGCCGGGAGGCGAGCAATAACCATCACTGACGCTAGGCAACACCGAACAAGCTTGTCCATCAACTTGGACGATTCTTCCTGATTTCCTCCGACGTCTGACATGCATACGTCTGCTGCATAGTCCAACCAAGCAACACACATGAGCATGAGAAGGATGACACCCTAACTGTCCGAGCTGTTCCGTTTTTTGCTTTGCGCTTTAAAAGTATTATAAATTTGCACCCCTCTACTTGTACTTCTAGAAAAGTATGGCGCGGGTACAGGAAGCGGAGAAATGACGCACTTCTTGCAAACTTTGATGTGCAACTTCTCAAATGTGTCATAACTCATACCCGCAGCTTCTACAATCTGAATATCCCTTCTCGACAATCGCGGCATATTCGTCTTTGTGAGAGACTCCTCCGAGTTTCTCCGCACGACACATGAAGGAGATGGCCGACTAGTACAACAAGTGAAGAAAAGGAGACTATGAATATAACACATTGCCGCACTGCACAACCAAGGGGCAACCAACAATTACCACCATATCCAAACATATCGTCGCCTGCCAGATCGAAAAGTAAACTCCTGGTGCTCATACAAAAGTTGGACCCCAACATGAGCAAATCATGTCACTGATTAAACTCCAACTGCTCATACACTACACAGACCCAAATGTGAGCAACACATGTCACTGCTTACCAGCCACGGCTTGGTGTCGAAGATGTTCCTTCTCGTCTAAACCTTTCGATTGTGGCAAGTCTTTTCCTAGACATGTCGTGCTTAGACCCAGCACGAACTCTTCAGTCTGAGTCGATGCCATAATGCCATCTAACCGGGATGGAAACCGGGACAGGTCCTTAATGTCTACGTCGACGAGGCAAACAACTTTTCCCGGAGCACTGGGGCACAACTCTATAGGACGACCAGCTGTCCCGCCACTCCCACGGATGGTTAGAACTTCATCTTGAGGAGTCAATAATTGTGAAGAGGGAGAGATGACAACGGGGGAATCGAATTCGCGGAAAAGTGTCTTGACAAGATCATCTTCGATCGGATGACGGACTGCAACCTCATCCCCTTCCAGCATGGTGACGTCTTCGTCCTCATTGCACTGGTCCGACACGACTATAGCCGTAATGATTTTCGAGGGCCGCATGCCAGGCAACCCTGAACATAACTGCGAGACATACCCGCCTTGGGAACCGCCACAATGTGCATCACGAGGTGGAGTCTCCTGGTCTTCCACACCCAGGGCAGGGGTGTTATCCGTGCTGCGTGGCTGCTGCTCCGTCGGTGGTGGAGTCTGCTCTGCACCGACACGCAGGCTTCGACGACGGATACATCCGGCGCCGGCAAAAGAACCGCCATCACGCACCCCGTGCCCCTTCTGCCCGTCCGCAAGTTTCTCCGAGGCAATCGTCAGCGAGACATGCCCGCCCTTAGGACAACCATAATGTGTGTCGAAGGGTGCAGCCTCCTGGTCTTCCATACCCAGGGCAAGCGTGTCGTCGGTGCTGCTGAGTTGATGCGCTGGTGGTGGAGTCTGCTGGTCTTCCATATTCAGGGCAAGGGTGTTATCCATGTTGCGTGTTTGCTGCGAAGTGTGTGCGACAACAAAGTCCTCCTTCCACTCTGCATTGTCACGGAGGCTTGGACGGCGGATACATCTGGCGCCGATAAAAGAACCGCCATCACGCAGCCCGAGCTCCTTGTGCCCTTCGAATCCCATCTGGGGGAAGTATGACCCGCCCGCAGGTTTCTCCGCGGGTTCCGTCAGTGAAACATGCCCGCCCTCCGAACCACCATAATGCATGTCAAAGGGTGCAGTCTCCTGGTCTTCCGTACCCAGCACAAGGGTGTCGTTGGTGCTGCTGAGTTGACGCGCCGAGGAGCGGATATATCCGCCACCGGCTGAAAAGCTTCCGGCAACTAAGTCCTCCGTCTGCTCCACACTGACGCGCCCGCTCGCATGGCGGATACATCCGGTGCCGACAGAAAAAATTCCAACCCGCAGCCCCCACCCCTTATCCACCTCAGACCTCGTTGCACAAGGTCTCGCAAGAGAATCTGTCCTTTCGGTGGAGTGTGACCCTCCTACAGGTTTCTCCACCACATTCTCTCCGTCTAGGAGGGTGGCATCCGTAACAACTTCGCACTCCCGAGTGTCGCATCCTGGATTCATAGTGGAAGCCATGTCGACCGACTCCGCATCTGCCATGAAATTGGATCCGGCAGAAACTGTATCGCGGATACATCCGCTGCCGGGAAATGCGTGTTGTCCTTGGCCAACGAGTTCAGAAGCTTGCAGCGAATGCATCGGCGGTGGAGATTCCACGTGTGGTGATCCCTGCCCAGTTTGTGAGCTCGCACCTTCTGCCGAAGCCATACCACCCATTCGGCCTGCGATCGTGACCCCTCCCGCGCTCGTAATATTTCCACGTCGTGCGCCGCCCCCTCTATTGTCACTTGCTCCACCATGTCCACCTTGACCGCCGACGCGGGTTCTGTCCTCACCTCCTCCGTCCCCTCCATCGTCATTTCCTCCACGTCCGCCCCGTCCAGCTCCCTCTTCGCGTGTTGGGGCAGGGGGCGGAATATGCCAGTAACTTGGACTTGTTTCAAGGTAATAAAAGTCACGACACAACTCCAACATGTTGTGTTCCCGAAGAATCTCATATGTCTGCTCTCCGAACACTTTGATGACAAACTCATCTGGTTGACGGCAGTTTACCTCCGCGACGTGGTCGATAACCGCTTGGAGGGCGGCCTCTTCAAACACCTTTTTTGACAAACGGGGTTCTGATTTCCAGTCGCCCTTATCATTGAACGCCATAACCCATTCACTATCAATAACTGCCGGTTGGAACACATCTGGATGCCAAACTATATGATGACCCCAATCAGACTCGTCGGTGCTCCTGTGCGTTTTCACGAAGAAATAGAGTTGACCTTTCTGCAATCTTAACGTGTGCGTTAGCGGAAGAGGACATCCAGGCTTGACAGTGGGGCTTAGAGGTTTGCTTCTCATAGAGGAAAGAAATCCTCTTGAAGAACCCGAGGTTGGCGTTGCGACAGGAGTGACGACACGAGTGACGATAGGCGAACACGCAGTGTGCTTGGAACTGGAAGGCGCTGAAGAGGACGCCATACCGGCAGTATATTTGTGATATACCGTCTCTAAATCCAACGGCTCCTCGCCTTCGCTAACTTCTTCCTCGTCGTTTGCGTTGAAATTGTCCTCTTCGGTGAACTGAGCCTTGTAATAATTTCACGTGAGTTCCATCTTGCCATTGTCGAAATAACATTCCTCAAGTTTCTCCACGAAGTTGGCCGCAGCCTCCCTAGAAGCACCATGGTAGCCATCCAATGCCCTGATCACGACATCTCGGCGACACTTGTAGTCGTCCTCGAATCTTAGTTTGGGTCGTGTGTCAAGGAAGAGAAACTTGTATACACTCGCCCTTTTCTTAGCTGATAGCTTGAACCACATGTTCCTGTCTGGATCATGGTCGACCTCTTTCTGCACCTGGTAGAATTCACAGTTGTCCACACCCGTATGCACCTCATGCGCAATATATGTCATCAAAAAGTTGAGGAGCTCTGTGTCTCCCTCGATGGCCACAACATGACGCCCGCTTTTGAGGACTTGCCACACAACCTGGGCGTGTGCTTTGCCAATGAACATAACTCCATTTTCGACTGGGCAGAAGAACTCTATCTGACCCAATAGCATAATCGAGTGGCGCTACATTTCCTTATAGACGAACCCCTTTAGGTGGTGCACGCCTGCCAATGCATACGTCGTGGCCGTGAACTGTGTTTCTGCAATGTCCGAGGGTGTGCACTTCTGCCTTTTCCCAAGAGCTGCAGCGTCATCGTCCGGCAATCGCCCCTCATATGTCGGTGGGGTGTTAAGCTTCAGATCATCCCCATGGAAAAGAACATACATCCTGTCCTCCTCGGCCCACACACTATTCCCGATTTGGTAGTGCTTCTTAACTTGACTTCTCCGAACCCATTTTCCTGCACAACCATTCGTGACAGGAAGAATGTGCAGAAGACCCATGAAGGAGAGGTCTCATTGCCTGGGAACGAAAGCAATCAGAGTCCAGAAATTAGGACACACAACTTCAAGGAATGCCGCCAATGACCGAAAAGCCTCCTCATTCCAACGTGCTCGGTCAACGGGATCGCAGAAGTCAATGATGCAAGTGTGGCATCGCAGCTGCGTCACAACTTTCCTCATCTCATCCTTTCTCAAGAAAGTCGTGAAGGCGTCGTAAGCAAATGGTGCGAGGGTTGTCACTTGACTGGTGTGCTTCCATTTGACATTGGTGCATTCTCCCAGTGCTTGCGGCCCCTCTTCTGTCTTGCTACGTTCACCTTTTAGCACGGACAACACAACCCGCTTCCACTCAGTGGGAAACTTCTCGTGATTGACTAACTTCATCGTCGCCGCCACGTCCTTATCATTCGGACAGCCGAGACACTGGGGGCATTCCTTGAGGTACGAGTGATCTGTGACCCATTTCCTGCAGCCCGCCCACAATTTCTCGTCTAGACCCTTGGAGGCGTACTCTGCCATCAATTGCTCCTTCGTCCGGAAAAAGGAGTCATTCCAATCATCGTTGTCGTGACCCTCGTGCTGGAATTGCACAATATGCCACAGTCGGAGCAGCATCCGATCTTGCTTGACCATTTCACAAGCATCCTTCATCCCAACCTTCCCCTGCTCAATCAACTTTTTGCTTCCTATCTGCACCCAGACAATGTCCAGGTCCAGTAACCCTCGCAGGATCTGACGTTTCTCCGCATCTATGAAATCCCCCGTATCTTTCCAACAATGCACATCGGGTTCATTCACTTGCACGAAAAAGTCGCGCTCCTCCTGTTTCCTTTTCTTCTTTCCTTTCCGCATCTCCAGATCAGTCACACGTACATTATACACAACTTTCTTATGGCCACTGTTGTCCTCCGCAAATGATTGACCCTCACGGGTGACTTTCGGGTCCGCTGTTGGAGGCTTCTTCGTCCACACAGCGCCATCAGAGGCGAGCAGATGGCCCTTTTCCCACTCGTCGTAGAACTTCATGCCAAGCTTTCACATTTCGTCGTCCGTCATGACCAAGGCAAGTAGTACCTCAGTTTCTCCGTCCATTCCTTTTCTTCGATTTCTCATCAACCAACCCCCAAAGGTTGAAGTAAGGCGTTTTCCTCAAGGCAGCTTTCTGAAACTCTTCCCATTTGGCGACCAAATCCTTCTTGAACTTTATATTGCCGGTGACTGCACGAGGACGCTTCAACTTATTCCACTCCTGACGAATGTCTGCCATTGACAACCGCTGAGCCGGAGGAGGGGCTAACTTGTCCTTCCTATTCTCGTTCACGCTTATCTGCGTATAACCGTCGAAGTCCTCCTCGGTGAAGTACAATGGCTTGAAGGGCCAGTCGGAGAAGGTATGCTTCTCCCAAATCTCGTGGTTTCTCAACTCCAGCGCAGCCTTGACATTGTGCTACCCGCTCACAGCATAGTACCAGTGCTCGTTCGGGTTTTCCACATTGAATTTGTCCGGGGTCACCCGAACAACCTTCCGTCCGGGGCTAGGAAGCCCTACGATTGGCGCCAATTTCAAAATTGGCTTCTCGTACGTCTTTCCTTTCTTCTTGAAGGCATCCATCATACACCGCAATATATATGCCGTGTGGGTTGGGTCGATCGAACGATGATTGTACGGCTTTCCCACGTCGGCAACTCCAAGACCCTCTCCGGGTCGATAGAAAGAGTGACATCTTTCCTTACACCCTCTTTCCCTTCCAGAAAGTACCCGGCGTCCAGATCGACAACCTTGTTCTTGTCGTCCTCACTGTTGTTTTCATCTGCTCGTGCCCGCTTGTCTTTCGATGACCCCTCCCTCGTTCCACCTCCCCGTCTCGCCTTCGGTGTTTCCGGGTTCCTCCCTCCTGACTTCCTCTTCTTGCCAGATGTCTGGCGAGGGGTACTTGTTTTCCTTTTCTTCTTGTCCGATTGTACGACATGTCTGTGTTCGTCTCCAGCCCCCTCGCTTTCAGATTCTTCTCCGCTTCTCTTTTCTCCCACCGCAACAGGTCTTTTACCCATGTCCCTTGGCTGCTCCGCAACCTCATGATCTCCTCCCGATGTGCTAACTCCAGTCGTCTTCTCCCCAGTCGACGGCTCATTCGTAGCACTCACTGGACCCTGAGCCACATCGGCGACCGCCCCCTTCGCATGTCTGCGTTCGACAGCTTCACCTTCCGGCTCGGATTCTTCATAAGCACCTGAGGGCTCTGGCTGCTCAGGAACGTAGCTAGGGTCAAGCACTCCAGTCGCACCCTCTGCAGCAACAGCAGTCGACATTTCTGAAGTTCGCATGCGGTCTTCGTCACCGCCAACGTATGAGATCGGCATTGAAATACGATGCTCCTGCGGCACATCTAAACACCTGGCTGGCGGCACCACTCTCTCCCACTCATCAAAGAAGACCCGCAGGAGAACAGTTGGTTCTAAATCTGATGTTATGGTCGTGTAAAATGGAAGCATGGTGGCTTGTTTGTCGAAACCTCGGAACTTTTTCCAAGACAATCTGACACCATGGGCGTCATCGTTAGGACGACCGTCCTTCTCGTATGTCGTCTGAAGGGTGAAAGTACGAACTCCTTCCGAACAATCTTCCCACCCGCTCACGGCCCCGACGAGCCGAAAATTCTTATGGTCTCTCACGAAGACGACTCCACCGCAAGGTGGACTAGTCAGCGCGGACTTGTCAACAGAAACCCAATCAAGAAACCACTGCCGGTTGTCGTACTTGTAGTACAAAGGATTTCTCTTCGTCCTGCCGCTGTACCTGCCACCCGAAGAAGCAATCTGACCGCGTTCCGCTACTGGAGCACTGCCAGAAGTCGAGGCCGGCCCACCACAATTTCCACCAGACTCCCGCCCTGCTCGCTCGGTAGCCGTTCCTGCAGAGTCATGTCGTTCGCCAGCACCAGCGAGCGCCATTTTATCTGCATTTGCCAAGCAAGAAGAAGAACACGCTACTCAGCATGATAGTAAACAGAGCGACGTCGACGATGCCCATACTGAGCACATGGCAGTCCGAGGCGCTCGACAAGGGCAGAGTCTTCATCCTCAGCGGCGGATATATCCGCTATAAAAGGCAACAACCTGACTTTTACGATGCTAAACCTGAGCACATGGCATTTTGAAGCAGATGTATCCGCAACGGGGTCGACGTTAGATGAGGTGCCCGTGAGGTTTATGTAAGCTAGAGCAAAGAAGGAAAGAAAACTTATGCTCTGTGAAGTTTCAATAAGCTAGAGCAATCAATGAATTTATCCACTGCATGGACAACGATGTCCAAGCACCACACCAAGACAGCGCAGGGTCATGATCCTCAGCTGCGGATTTATCCGCCGCATGGACCGCGACACGACATAGACCCTGATGTCCGGGGCGGATGTATCCGCCGCATGGACCGCGAGCAACCGATGCCGAGATTGTGAAGGGCAAGGCCATCATCCTCAGTTGCGGATGTATCCGCTGTTGAATGAAGCGGCACTACTTCAATAACGGACACATCCGCCGCTGAGGATGTATCCACTGCCCGATCTCGAAGTACTGTTCGATCGCTCAGAGCAGGGTCCGATCCTCAGTGGCGGATGGCGGATGTATCCGCCAGAGGAGGAAGCGACGTTGTTCGACACGGACAATGCTCATACTAAGCACATGGCGGTTCGGGGTCGTCGTCCTCATGTCAGGGGCGGATATATCCGCCGTATGGACAGGGAGCAAACGTCGCCGTGCGCTTGGGAAGGGCAAGGTCATCATCCTCAGCCGCTCCAATTAATTTTGCTCCTTCAACGGGTGTATCCGCTATCGGATGAAGTAGCATGATTACAATAAGGATGTATCCACTACCCGACCTCGAAGTACTGTGCGATCGGTCAGGGTAGGGTCATGTTCCTCAGCGGCGGATGTATCCGCCGCATGAACCACGAGCAACCGGTGTCGTGCATCATCCTCAGCGGCGGATGTATCCGCTATCGAATGACGCAATTCGACATTGACAATTCTCGTACTGAGGACATGGCGGTTCGGGGTCATCGTCCTCATGTCTGGGGCAGATGTATCCGCCGCATGGACCGCGAGCAACAGTCRCCGTGCGCTTGTTAAGGGCAAGGTCATCATCCTCAGCGGCGGATGTATCCACTRTCAAAAGAGCAGCACGACGTCAATAACGGATACRTCCGCCGCTGACGATGTRTCCACTACACGACCTCGAAGTACTGTGCGATCGGTCAGGGCAKGGTCCTGATCCTYRGCGGCGGATGTATGCTATCYRCCRCGGGATTGATATCAAATGTGGAGCGGATGTATCCGCCGCATRGACGATGACCTCGAACTGYTGAGCGCYCRTTAAARACACGRTCTTCATCCTCTGCGCCATTCCCATCTCGAGGCCGGTGCATACCCAGTGGAGAAAGGACAYYGGCCTGAAACCTCATTTACCATAATCAACTTTCACGTATGTGTGGCGGATATATCCGCGACGCGGTAAGCGGGCGGAATCCTCTCAGAGGATATAGCAGCGCACAAAACAGAGAAACCACACCCGTGTGTGTGGGGCGGATGTATCCGCCGCATGGACCGCAAGCAACCGTTGCTGTGCGCTTATGGAGGGCAAGGTCATCATCCTCAGTGACGGATGTATCCACTGTCGAATGAAGCAGCACGACTTCAATAACGGATACATCCACCGCTGACGATGTATCCACTGAGCGACCTCGAAGTCATGTCGTTTACTCCTGTGGCTCAGTGTAGGGTCCTGATCTTCAGCGGCGGATGTATCCGCCAGAGGAGTATGCGGCACGACTTGCACCCTTCTCAAAATGAGGCCTGCTAGTAAATCATTTCGATTTTGACAATGCTATCTGCCGTGGATTGATATCAAATGTGAAGCGGATGTATCCACCACATGGACGATGACCTCGAACTGCTGTGCGCCCGTTAACCACAATCGATTTTCACGTATGTGTGGCGGATATATCCGCTACACGGTAAGCGGGCGGAAACCTCTCGGAGGATATAGCAGCGCACACAACAGAGAAACCACACCCGTGCACAAATTGCACATCCCGAGATCGTGTGGCGGTTGTAATCAACACAGAGGACGTTTCCTCCCCTGGCAACTAGCGCTCTGTGCCTTCGATGTCCACGTATGTATGGCGGATATATCTTCCGCAGGAAGTGAGCGAAAACACACCGGCCTCGAAACCTCATTAACCACCTCCGACGCCCGTGTTTGTTTGACGGATATATCCTCTGCACACCAAGTGGGCGGAGACCTATTAGAGGATATGCACATGTACTCTGTGAAGTTTTTCGTTGCTTGCTGTGTAGCGGATATATACGCCACACAGACATGGACGGCGAATGTTATTTTCTCCGTTACGTTTTTGCTATATTGCTTTATGGCGGATATATCCGCCAGACATACGTGGACATCAAGCGCGGGTATTGTGTCTGTGTTCTGCACTGATATATGCACTCTGTGAAGCTTGTCGTCCATTGCTGTGTAGAGGATATATCCACCACACAGACATGGACGTCGAATGTTATTTTCTCCGTTACGTTTTTGTTGCACTACTGTGAGGCGGATATATCCGCCACACAGACGTGGACATCAAGCGTGGGTGTTGTTTCTTTGTTTTGCACTCACAACAGATCATATCGGCGGAACATCTCAAAGGGTATAACGCCATACAGAACAGAGCAACCACACCCGTGCACAATTTACGCATCATGAGATCGTGTGGCAGTTGTAATCGACACAGAGGATGTTTTCCCCCTGTTAACCAGCGCTCTGCGCCTTCGGTGTCCACGTATGTGTGAAGTACATATCCACCACAGCAACTGAGCGAAAACACACTGGCCGCTAAACCTCATTAACCACCTTAGACGTCCGTGTTTGTGTGCCGGATATATCCTCTGCACACCGAGCGGGCGGAGATCTCCTAGAGCATGCATCACCTGTGCTTAATGTCCATGTCTGTGGGGCGTACATAACAGAGAAACAACACCACGTTTGATGTCCTCCATACAGTAGTTGCGCAAAAAACTCATGGGAGAAACAATATCCGACATCCATGTCTGTGTGGCGGATACATCCGCTACACAGCAAGCAGCCGGAAACTTCAAAGATTTCATATATATGCCCGTGAATAACAGAGAAACCACCCATGCACCCACCATTCATACCCTGTAACGTCACAAAAATGTGTGGTGTTGYAAACGACACAGAGGGTGTTTTTCCTTTTCATGGAAGTTGGTTTTCAATTGAAGGTATCTTTATCTTACGAAACCCGTTTGGAAAAGCAAAGCAAAGCTGTACGAAAAACAGTTGCTGGAAAGGAAAACCGCTCAAACAACAGACTGTGCTTTCCCGTTGGCAAACAACGCTTCACGTCTGTGTGGCGGATATATCCGCCGCACGGTGTCTCAGCAAAAACCTAATGGAGAAAAACATTCACGTCTTTGTGGCGGACCATACAGAAAGCAGACGAAAACCCCTCGTGCAGTATGAATCCTCGTACAAAACAGAGAAACCGAACCCATGCACGATTCATGTCATGTACAATCACGAAATCATGTGTTGTTTGTAAACGACATAGAGGATGTTTTTCCCGCTGCCATCTTGCGTCTGTGTGGCGGATTTATCCTCCGTACGGTAAGGAGAAGTGTCTCGGGCAAAAGTTGAGCTAAATCTTGTTCCTAATAATTCGTGTGACTAACAAAAGCACAAGTTCGATGTGCTACTGAAACCAGTTCGATGCACAACAAGAAGGGGGTTGAATGCACAAGTAGAGGGGTTTGATGCACGACAAAATGAGGTTTGTATGCACAAGCAGAGAGGTTTCAGTAAGGGCTTTCGATGCACAACATGATGGGTTCGATGCACAACAAGAGTGTTCGATGCGCAACAAGAGGGGTTCGATGTACAATAGGAGACGTTCAATACACAACAAGAGGTTTTCGATCTTCTACAAGATGGGGTCCAAAAGTTCCATGCGTGACAATATCGGATATGTTGGAAAGCACAGCACAACGCGTGATGATGACGTCAGCGTACCTTGCTGCTGATCGAATGGCTGCCTCCCTCGTTCAGCGACGGTTCTCAACAACCCGTGATCCGCTGTGCTCGACAGGCCTTAATGATGACGGGTACGCACGCGCACGCCCAAAAACCCACGTGGCGATGGTTGGAGACCTCGAACAGGATCGCGATCGTCGTTCAGGAAGATGGCGGAGGATGGGGCAGCATGGAGATGGAAGAGCAAAAAGAAGGATTACAGTCGATGAAGATGGCTAACAACGACATGAAGGAGCGTGAAAAAAGAGATGGCGATCGGGACAGGGATGGCGGGGGAACGTAGATGGGGATCGGGACAGAGATGGATGAAGAACCAAAATGGCGATCGGGATAGAGATGGCGGGAGAACAAGATGGCGACGGGACAGAGAGGGCGGGAGAACGACGATGGCGATCGGGACAGAGATGGCGCATGAAAGATGATGGCGCGAGAAGACGATGCCGCGAGGAAAATGATGGTGAGAGGAAGATGATGGTGAGAGGAAGATGATGGCGCAAGAAAGATGATGGCGCGAGGAAGATGATGGTGCGAGGAAGATGATGCCGCGCGAGGAAGATGATGCCACGCGAGGAAAATGAAAGATGATGGCGATCAGGACAGAGATGGCGCGAGGAAGATGATGGCGGGAGGAAGCTGAAGTTGGCCAAGGAAGACGAAGGCGGGAAGACGAAGGCTGGAGGAAGACGATGCACAACAAGGAAGACAAAGGCGGGAAGATGAAGGCGGGAGGAAGACAATGGCGCGAGGAAGATGAAGGCGGAAAGACGAAGGCGGGAGGAAGACGAAGGCGCGAGGAAGACGATGCCGCGAGGAAGACGAAGGCGGGAGGAAGCTGAAGACGCAAAAAAGTTGATGGCGCGAGTAAGATGATGGGGCGAGAGCGCTACTAAGAGGATTGCACGAGGAAGATGATGGCGGGCGAGATGGGACAAAGACGGCACGGGGGAAGGCGGTACGAACGAGGATGGCGGGCGGGATGGAGAAGGTCCACGAAGATAGCGGCAGCGTGAGAGGAGAAGCCGAGCAAGGCGTTGTGCACCGACCTTGAAAAGCCGCGAACGGTAGCCCTGGTCTCCGCCGCGTCAACAAAACGCTGAAGTGTGTTCCAAGAAGTCATATGCCGCCAAGAGAAGGCGAGAACGCTTCAAATCTTTGGCGCCGACCTGAAATTTTCTGAAACGCCAAAAGGTCCGCCAACTTTTCGAAGGGTCTGGCCCGCCTTCGGCCCTGCGCGTGTCGGCCTCCGAAATCGGGTGGCGCTCGACCAAAATGGTTCATCCGACGGTCGAGACGCAACGGCACACCACTAGTCGGGAGCAGGCAAATGGTCCCCCAAACGACAGCCCGTTCGAAGTTTTCGTTCATCGCGCGGTGCGCGTCGGCCATCTTCCCATTCGACGGTCAGGATTCTGCCCGAACGACGGTCATGATTCTTGCCATTTTCGCCCGGGGTGCCTGGATCGCACATGCCCGGTCTGTATCGCTCGTCGATGTCATTCTGTGATCACGACAGAGGGAGCTCGTCGCCGATCACGATCTTTAACGCAGCGTACTCGCTCGAAGCCGGCGACAGCTCCGACATCGCCACGCCAAGGTGAGAAACGAACCTTCTATCTGCGCTAGCGGCCCTGTTGTGTCCGTCTGCGAAGAAACCACAGATGTCCGGAGTGAAACTGGGATGACGTCAATGATTCTCTGGATGACGTCAGTCCTCTCGTCTCCATGCATTGCCTCTTGCGAACGCCATGGACATACACGTTGGTGAGACAAAACTTAAGACTACCACAAAAATGAAACTGCGGAAGTCGATGGAGAGAAACTGCACACAATGATGTCAATGACTCTCGGACTGACGCCACCCACCACGTCTCGACAAGGCCCTTACAGACTGACGCCGCCGGCCATCATCCCCTCAATGGGATGCCCAACAACCACAACAAGAACGAACACCACGCATCACTAATTACAGCATCCCGGTCGTTCTTACCGACGAGCTGCAGCCATTCGCCTCCTCCCTGTACATGGACCAATCGAAAGCCACATCCCTAGACCTGTCAGTCATCAGCGTGGACTGCATCCTCGTATCTGATGGAACACCACTTCCCTATGACATGGACTAATCGAACACCACCTCCCTGAACCAGTTCCACAACGTGGACTCCGTCCTCGTCCCTTATCGAGCACCACCTTCCTCGTATCTTATCGAACACCACCACCACCTCCCTAGACAAGGACCAATTGAACTCCACCTCCTTGAACCACTTCCACACCGTGGACTCCATCCTCATGCCTTATCGTACACTGCCTCCCTCGCGACTTATGACCCCATCCTCGTGCCTTATCGAACACCACCTCCCTCGTACCTTATGACTCCATCCTCGTGCCTTATCGAACACCACCTCCCTCGTACCTTCACTTCCACACCGTGGACACCATCCNCCCTCGTACCTTATGACTCCATCCTCGTGCCTTATCGAACACCACCTCCCTCGTACCTTCACTTCCACACCGTGGACACCATCCTCGTGCCTTATCGCACACCACCTCCCTCGCGACTTATGACTCCATCCTTGTGCCTTATCAAACACCACCTCCCTCGTACCTTATGACTCCATCCACACGCCTTATCGAACACCACCTCCCTCGTACCTTATGACTCCGTCCACGTGCCTTATCGAACACCACCTCCGTCGTACCTTATTGAACATTTTCGTTCCAAATCGAATGCATGGTCTTGGAGCGGATAAATCCGCGAGATCTGTTAGAGGCTCTCGCTTTCACTGGCGAAGGAACTTGCACATTAGGCGTGCCGAAATCAAGTTCGAGGGAGTGAATCCATATCTGTTCAGCGGATATATCCCCTGAACAGATAAGGCGGGGGTTCTTTTAACTCGCACGATCGAAGCCGTGCTGAATAGATAAGGCGGGGGTTCTGCTAGCTCGCACGGTCGAAGTCGTGCAGCGGATACGTCCGACACACATGAAATGAAGAATTTGCTAGATTGCACGACGAAGCCGTGTAGCGGATACATCTGCCACACATAACATGGACCATACGTTAACCCGACCACGAAGACCTCAATTTGCATAGCTCCATTTCATATGAGGCCGACGTATCCGCTGCGAGGCTTCGATCGTGCGAGCTAGCATTCCAAATGGAATGCATGTTCCTGCAGCGGATAAATCCGCCAGAGATCTGTGCACCCTCTATTAGAGACTCTTGCTTTCACTGGTGAAGGAACTTGCACACCACATGTGAAAAATAAAGTTTGAGGGAGTGAATCTATACCTGTTCAGCGGATATATCCGCTGAACAGATAAGGCGGGGGTTCTTCTAGCGCGCACGATCGAAGTTGTGCAGCGGATTCATCTGCCACATATGAAATGGAGTCTTTGCTAGCTTGCGCGACGAAGCCATATAGCGGATACATCCGCCACACATGACGTGGACCATATGTTAACCCGGCCACGAAGACTCAATTTGCATAGCTCCAGCGATCTGTGCACCCTCTATTACAGGCCCTCGCTTTCACTTCACCAGGCGTGCGGAAATGAAGTTCGAGGTCTTGAATCCATATCTTTGCAGCGGATTATCCGCTGAACAGAAAAGGCGGGGGTTCTGCTAGCTCGCACGATCGAAGCCGTGCTGAACAGATAAGGCGTGGGTTCTGCTAGCTCGCACGATCGATGCCGTGCTGAACAGATA